AAAGGCCTACATTGTTCCAGTGAATTTAAACTGTAATAATTGCGATTCTGATTTCACCGACTTTAGAGACGCATAATATGATATAGACATTACAAATGGGATGGTTGTAGTTGATTTTAACAGTAAAATAGAAAATGATGAGATCTAATTTTAAATAGGAACGGAAAAAAATTAATTGAGTTGTTCAATGCTGTGAATTTCACAGTAATGAATGGTAGAATTAATGGCGATTTAGAGGGCAAAACCACAATTGCGCGTGATGGAGCAACGTCAACAATTGATTATTGTGTTTTAAAAGGTTTATTCCTAAATAGCATATAGCAACTTATGATACAAGAGAAAATCTACTTGGACCATCTACCTGTGGAACTAAGGCTAATCATATAAACAACTGCAAAAATATGAATCTACTACCTAACCTTAAATGGAAAAAACAATATTTGAACTCATATCAGATTAACCTTGACAAATTATTGAACAGTCATGATATGAGTGAAGATACAGCTGTTGAAATGATAACAATGCCTTCGAAGCTGCTAGTGCATTTGAGCAAGGTTTAACAAAGAGAGAATGGAATAAAGACTGGTTCGATAAAGAGTGTGAAATTGTAAAAGTAAACTGTTTCAGTAACCTGAATAAGGTGAGAAAAAAGGATTAGTTTCAGATTGGAATCAATATAAGACAGCCAAAAACGTTTACAGAAATTTATGCAATATCAAAAAAATCCAACACACTAACGGTCTTTGCTTATTGCTAACAGTAGTAAAAGACTCCAAAAGCTTTTCGAAAGTCGAGGTAGTTGAACTAACAGAGGATTTAGAGCGTTGCAAAGAAAATAAAGCGCCTGGTAAAGATCGAATTCCAAAAAAATTTTTAAAATTTGCATCAGGTGATGGTATCATAAGGATTACAAAAATTTTTATTTACATATACGATAATTCAGAAGAACGGGAATGTTTTAAAAAATCAATAGTGTCCACTATTTAAAGGGGGTAATTCGCACAGTAAAAAATTATAGAGAAATGTTTTTTTAAATTCGATGGCATAAGTATTTACAGGCATATTACATCAACGACTGCAAAGTTGGGTTGACGACAAAAAAAACTATTAAGTGAATACTAAGCAGGCTTCAGGCGAGGTTACTCCACTGTGGGCAATGTTTTCATGCTGACACATATTACAAAATTATACGTAGAAAGTGGAAAAAAATTGTACAAGTTTTTTGTAGACTTTAGAGCTGCATTTGATCCTATCGACAGAGAAGCTATATTTTATAAATTAAATGATTACGGAATATCTACAAAAATGCCAAACATACTGAGGGCGATATATTGTAACACGACTGCAGCAGTATGGGATGGAAACAGTCTTTCCAAGTGGTTTTCTTCAAACACAGGAGTAAAACAGGGTTGTTTGATGAATCCTTTACTTTTTTCGTTATTCATAGACGATTTAAACCATTATCAAATGGAACATGTAGCAAATTACTTTTACGTGCAGAAGATATAGCACTTATGACGGACTCACTTATAGCAATGCAAACTATGATCAATGAATTATATACCTACTGTATGATATGGAAACTTAAAATAAATACTTCGAAATCTAAAATTATGATATTTAAAAAGAATTGCAGAAGGCTGATAAAAAATGAAACTTGGATCTTAAATTGTGAAGTGTTAGAAGTAGTAAAAGAATACAAATATTTAGGAGTCTGGATTTCTTATAATGACAAATTCAATGTACATCTCAGAAAAAAGGTAGGTGAAGCCATATAAGCAATAAACTCGTCATGGAAAGTAATTTTAGTTAAAAATGAAGTTGCGTCCTTAGTAAAGTTTCAAGTACTTTAAGCGGCTGTAAAATCATTTCCCTTTTACGCAGCACAAGTATAGGGAATAGACGAATTTAACGAAGTAGAAATGCTTCAGAGGTACCTCATAAAAAGAACATTTAACTTACCGCAAAACACGCCTAACTACATTTAGAAACTGGATTGTTAACTTTATATATAGAGACGCTAAAATTACATTCTAAACATATACAGTGACGAACAAAATTATTGGCACAGCAAGCAAATTGAACTTTAGAACTATACTTTTGTCTATAATGTCGTTAATGATGTCCAATTCGCCGACCCCTGTATTGGACATGCAGCCCCATACAAACACTCTTCCACCACCATGTTTCACAGACATAGCAAGATTTTCTTTTTGCAGTTCGGTGTTTGCTTTTGTTCAAGCCGTTTGTGTGTCATTAGATTGAAAGATCTTACATTTTCTTTTATTTAAGAAGAGTACATTGTTCCAAAAGTCGATTGGCTTTCTTAAGTACTCATTTTCATAGGCGAAATGCTTCTGTTGGTTGACTCGCAAAATTAACGGTTTTCGTCTAGTGACACAATAGTAGTAACTAACCTCTTGCAGTGTCCTCCTGACCGTTATGGGATGAATTTCTTTATTAAACTCTCGCTAAACTTCAGCTGCAATTTGGGTTGAAGATATTTTTGGGTTGACCTTCACTTTTCGTATTATTGTGTTGCGTTCACGAACGCGCATGGCTTTAGATCGGTCTGTGTGCTTTGCACTTTGCAACAATATCGCCCCCTTGAAAGGCTGCACAATGCTCCGAAAGGTATAGCGGCTTTTATCCATCATTTCTCCAATCTTCGTATAAGATTTGCCTTTTTTGTACAAATATAGAACTAGATAGACGTCCAAAGAAGCCCATTATAACAACAAGGGAACTTAAGAACTGAAGGTGCCACTGCTGAAGAGTGGCAAAATTTTAGACCAAAAACCGCACAAAAATTGTTTTTTCGATTCTAAAACATATAGTAGCAATTATTAAATAGAAGAGCTTGGCCACTAAATATTAATTGTTATCGAAAATGTTTTTTTTAATTTGTTTTTTAATTTTTACGTTAGCTGTGCCAATCATTTTGTTCAGCCAAATTTAGTTATTTTTTTTGCTTTTTAATTTAAAAAAATAAAATGTAAGAGAAAATAAAATGAAATAAAATGAATTTAAAAGCAAATTAAGCATTTTATGTAAAAAAATTTTTTTTTGTTAAAAATCGCATCACTAACATGATAAAAATAATGCTAAAGTTCAATTTGCTTGCTGTGCCAATAATTTTGTTCGTTGATGGGTTAACATCAACCCAAAAAAATCACCAGGCTATGATGAGATATCTGGTAAATTTTTTCTACAATTACCTGTAATAGCTGCATGATCAGCAATAAGATTTTCCCTGTTGTTTGGAAATTAGCGAAGGTTGTAGCAATACCTAAACCAAACAAAAATGCTTCAAATGTAAACTCTTACAGACCGATCAGCTTATTACCCATCTTATCCAAACTATTTGAAAATGTTTTCTCCCGACTGGAACCAATAATACAAGAAAATAACCTATTGCCAAATCGCCAATTTGGATTTCGTAAAAAGCATTCTACTATTCAGATACTTCATCGGGTGGATAGTAAAATTGCAATGAATATAGACTCTAAGAAGATCACTGTGGGTGTGTTTTTAGACGTAGCTAAAGCATTCGACAGCGTTTGGCACAAAGGATTGCTTTACAAACTATAAAGAATAATGCTGGTTGATTTTTATTTACTACTGAAGAGCTACCTTAAAGATAGATACTTCCTTGTGCAATATCAAAACGACATATCCCACATGGTAAAAATAGAAGCTGGTGTCCCTCAAGGGAGTGTATTAGGCCCGATCCTATATCTATTATACACTGCAGACAATCCTAAGCCAAAAAGTGGAGAAATACTGACTGTAACGTTTGCTGACGACACTGGACTTTTATCAACGAACCATGATATCACTAAAGCAACTGTAAACCTTCAAAATCATCTAAACGAAGTGATTCATTTCTCTAACACCTGGGGAATAAAGATAAACGCCAAAAAAACTGTCCAAGTTATTTTCACCAACAGGAAATTTAAAGAACAGAAACTGAAAGTTGTTAACATTGATATACCAATCTGCAAGAAAGCCAAATACTTGGGTATGCTATTAGACCAAAAGCTGACTTGGAAGGAGCACATAATTCAGATAAAAAAGGAAGCTCATCGAAGATTTGCAGATCTATATTGGCTTCTTGGTAAAAATTCCATTCTGTCAATAAATAATAAACTACTAATTTACAAAAGTCCCTCTCGGGGATTGTGGCCTTGTCGTGGCGAGGGAGCTTAGTAGGGTGCAATGATCCTGAGAGCGATGCCGGCGGTAGCGTAGCTACTGGTAGGGCCTCCCTTGCCGGTAAGGTCAAAGAGGAGCATCTGAAGCTAAGAGCAATCCACAACGGTTCGCGACCCGGATGGTCTTTTTCCTCCATGACGTCCCGGGATGTAGGCAAGATACAGCATCTTCAATCTTAGCTAAGAAGCCCACCGTTTTCTCGGACTCTCGAGTCTAAAGGTCTGACTGGTGGCCTTAACTGGCAGCCTCAGTACCAGTATAGGATGCATGGGCTAATCACTCGTTCATCTGAATCTACACGATTACTGAAACCGAAACAAATAATTATAACCAACGGCTCCCTTTGATGACGACTATTGGAATGAAAATACGGAAACGATTCGGAACCTGGAATATAAGAACTCTAGCAGAAACATCAAAACTTGCTCAACTTGAACGTGAATTTGTACGTCTCAATCTTTTATTCATCGGGCTAAGCGAAGTAAGATGGAATGGCTGCGGCGAATACAAAACATCCTCCGGCGCTACACTCATATACTCTGGAAAGGCCACAGGCGAAAAAAGAGAAAGTGGAGTAGGCTTTCTATTATCCAAAGAAGCTAAACAAGCGCTCATAGAATGGCAACCGAATAATTCTGGCAAAATTTAAAACTCGAGCCAGAACCCTCACATGCATACAGTGTTACGCGCCTACTGAAGTCACCGACCCACAAATCAAGGAAAATTTTTATGACTCCCTATACTCTGTTTTAAATAAATGCCCTAGAGGTGAAATAAAGCTCGTCATGGGAGATTTCAACGCACAAATCGGGCCAGATAACAATGGAAGAAAACAAGTGATGGGTAAACATGCTCTCGGCACAATGAACGATAATGGGGAGCGTTTCTATGAATTATGTAACACCATGGGCCTCACCATAGGAGGTAGTCTCTTCCCGCACAAACATTTGCATAAAGTCACTTGGGTTTCCCCAGATAATGCAACAGAAAATCAAATCGACCACATTGCCATCAGCAAAATGTGGAGACATTCATTATGTGATGTCAGAAATAAAAGAAGTGCAGACATGGCTTCTGACCACCATCTACTAATCGGTGAAATACAACTCAAATTAAATGCGGTCTTTAGAAAGCCACAATTCAAAAGGAAACGGTTCGACCTCGCCAAACTCGACAATCCTACTGTTCAAAATAACTATCAATCTCTTTTATCGGCCCAAATCCCTAATCCCTTGCCACTAGAAGAAGAAATCTTTGAAGCCGAAACTTATTGGGAACAAGCAAAATGTGCCTTCACTGAAGCAGCACAACAAAGTGTCGGTATTCCTCAACGTCAAAATAATCCGTGGATCACCGAACATACATGGAATCTTATAAAAGCGCGCAAAGGAGAAAAAGAAAAGGTTAACAGTGCAAGAACGCGCCAAACAAAGCAGCAGGCACAAGCCAACTACAGTATTGCCAACCGCAAAGTTAAACGCAGCGCTAGAGCCGATAAGCGCAGATGGCTCGACAATTTAGCAACAGGAGCCCAAAAAGCAAGCGAATCACATAGGCTCAAAGACCTACACATCATCACTAAAGCTATGGTGGGACGTAAACACAGGACTGCAAAACCAATAAAAAATACCAGGGGCGAACTAGTACACTCTATTATACCAAAGAAAGGTAACCTGATGGAATGCTCCAACTGGAGAGGCATAACTTTACTAAATGTAGCTTATAAAGTTATTGCTCAAATCTTACATAAACGTTTAACTTCGGCCGTTGAGCCTACACTACGAGCCGAGCAAGCAGGATTTAGGCATAATCGATCATGTGCCGACCACATATGTAAACAGCCTTCGAATAATAGTCGAACAGTCTAGCGAATGGCGATCTCCCCTATACTTGCTGTTTATCGACTTTAAACGTGCATTCGATACACTTCTCCATACCACCATTTGGTATGCATTAGAGTGTAAAGGTATACCGAGTAAATTAATAAATTTAGTAAAAGGCTTGTACTCTGACGCGCACTGCTCAGTACTTCACGAAGGGCGTCTCAGCGGGCAAATTCAAATTAAGTCTGGCGTCCGACAAGGTTGCATTCTTTCACCTATACTATTTAATATAGTCTTAGATGTGGTTATGTCGGAAGCTATGAGCACAAATCATGGCATATCATTCGGCCTTCATAACAAACTTACTGACCTCGATTACGCTGATGACATCTGTTTACTAACGCACAACTTTTCCCAGATGCAAATATCGTTAAACAACATCGCAAAGCGTGCACTGGCAGCTGGTCTGTCAATCAATATCAACAAAACCAAGTCTATGCGTCTCAATTCAAACTGCTTAACGAAGTTTCAACTAGATGGCTCCTACATCGAAGATGTACTAAGTTTCTGCTATCTGGGAAGCTACATTTCGAACAACGGCGGCAGTCGGCAAGACATACAGTACAGGCTATCGAAAGCGAAGCAAGCGTTTGGAACCCTTAACAAAATCTGGCGTTCATTCAACATCACACAACGCACTAAGATACACTTGTACAATGCAAACGTAAAATCAACTTTACTATATGGTAGTGAGAGTTGGAACCTAACGGCAAGAGACGCACAACAGCTACAAGCCTTTGTCAATCGTTGTCTACGACGCATCCTTCATGTATTCTGGCCAGCAACCATAACCAACAACGAGCTCGGGTTTAGAACGAATCAGCCTCTTATAACTGATGAAATAATGATGCGCAAATACAAATGGCTTGGCCACACGTTAAGAAAACCCGCTGATGATATCGCAAGAAATGTCTTAGATTTCAACCCTCAAGGCAGTAGAAGACCAGGGCGTCCGCGCAACACTTGGAAACGACAAACTGAAGCCGAATTAAGAAATGCTGGAAAGAGCTGGAGTGAAACAAAACGTCTTGCATTAGATAGAGTTCAATGGAAACTATTTGTTACGGCCCTCTGTTCCACCTAGGAATAAAAGGATTAAATAAATAAATAAATTTACAAAAGTATTATTGTTCCGATTTGGAAATACGGAATTGAAATATGGGGAACCACCTGCAAGACTTATATATGTAAATACTATTCAAAGGCTCCAATCAAAAATCCTGCGAACGATAGTAGATGCTAGATGGTTCATCAGAAACGACGATATTTACAAAGACCTGAATATCCGTGCTGTTCATGAAACATTTCCCTACGGAGAGGGGAAAAGAAAAGGCGACTAATATCCCCCAGTGCCAGTTTGGCACTTATGCAAGAACTGCAAATGCTAATAAGTTGTGGGCGGCAACTTGCAACATCTGACCAGAGATGATACTATCTGGTACTTAGGGGGTCAGTGGCCCGACAGCTTCGGCTGTGCTGACCATTGGTGTTGGCTTCGAAGTGGCTGTGGTTAATACCCAAACTTACGCGGGAAGAATGTTTTGCTTGTCATTCATTTGCCGTGGTGTGCGTATCAAACCGGGTGCTGCAGCCCAAATTGTAGCAGCGGTCAGTAGGTAGGCCTCGCATCTTACAAAGGTGGAAGTTATGACTTGCATGAATTTCTTCATTGGTACCGGCGGAATAGTGCAGGCTATTACAATGGGGTATTGATTGACGCTTAAATTAATACGTGTGTTAGGAGCACCGTGATGTTGAGCCTAGATTGCAGAAAATCACGTGAAAGCACTGGAACATTTGTACATGAAACAATTCAAAAAAGCAGTGCTAACCACTTATCTAAATTGTTTCAGCATTCAAACCTAGAAATGAGAAGACTTCCTGTCTTGGAACTAGGGTACAAGAAACGTCTTAAACGTACACTTCCAATATACTGAAGTATTAAGTATTAAATTAAGTTGAATCCTTTCTTTAATTTATGTTTATTAATTTTGTATTATTATTTATTATTTATGTATTTATCTTCTTATTTATTTATTTATTTATTTTTTTATTTATTTATTTATTTTATTTACTTATTTATTTACTTATGTATTTACCTATCTATTTATTTATTTATTTTATTTACTTATTTATTTACTTATGTATTTATTTATGTAATTATTTATAAAATGTATTGAAATTTGTATGAAATATATTATTATCATAAACATGTTATCTTAAATGATGATTTAAGATAACTGAAACTTCCAAATTTTCATTTGTTAAAAGTATTACTAGATCAATGGAGTAATAAAAAAAAAAGAAAATGTAATTCACGTAATGATTTTGAGTGACTATAGATTTCCTAAAATTCTGGCATGTTTCCTTTTAAATACAAAGAGAGGTTTTTTCTCGAAAATAGAATTGTTGCTCGAAAATAGAGAAGTATGGCTTCTTTGCAAAAAAATATAGTAATTAGTAATTACTATATTATAGACATGCTTACAGAAGGTTGGAATATGAATTATGTGACCGGAATTACTTTAAGGATGATTGTACTATTGGAACTATCAGTCAAATTTTTAAAAATCGAGGCGGACTCCTTAAGTTAAATTATAGAGCATATGTGCAATATAATTCAACACATTGTGCATTCCACTTTATTGGATTATGTCCAATTCTGAGAGAACTGCATTACAAATTCTATATGAAATTCACTCGTACAGAGGAGGAAATATTAGAAATATTAGAGGCATTAAAATGAGATAACTAGGCAGCACTCTCTGGCTATGTAAAAGATGCAATTATTTACAGGCAAATAATAATAAATGAAAGTTTTTAGATTTAAATAAAATAGAATAAATAGAAAAATAGAAAATAGAAAGGGCATACAAAGTTCACCAAAAATAGTTCTTTTCACACAAAAAAACTAACCGGTCATAATTACTATTGTGTGATTATTTCTGATAAAAAAAAGGTGCTCCACTCGTCAGTGTAGTCTTTTCTAGCCGTACTTTAAAAATGAATGTAAGTGTTTTTTTTTAATTTACTTATTAATTTGAGACATACAAATCAGAAATGCATGTGAAAAGAAATGTATCTTTTTTTATATAATTATATATAGTAAAAGTATCTTGGTAATAACCGCATCAATTTCTATTAAACACTGTTTCATCTTCTGCTTTTCAATAATTTCAACGTTCATAATTAAAAAAATTTTTTTGACTATTTTTCCATACTAATAACTTTCGCGGTTTATAGCTCAAAACACCGATGACACAGAAAAAACTCCACTTTTCCACCAACTGTCTTCTTTTATATCCCAATTTTTTTTCCGTAATCATTCCGGTTGATGAATATTTCCGCGCGAGTTACATTCTCTTATCTTATCCCTATATTAAATATATTATTATCGTTGTTTGACCTAATCAAACAACGAAATATCTAAATTGTATTCTACTAAAAATATTATTATCGTTGTTCGGCCTAATCAAACAACGAAAGATTTACATTATATTTTATCATATTCTATTATCTTTAAATAAACATTGTAACTTAAAATATTATTATCGTTGTTCGGCCTAACCAAACAACGAATTGTCTTATCAGGATTCGATACTTCGAATCCTCATTATAAATATAAGCAAAATTGTTAGTTATAAGTCTAGTCTTAAGATTCATTTAATAAGGCGAACATCAAACTAAAGTTTTGTGCGTTTTAATTTAATATAATTGGCGCAGTCGGAAAACTCGGTAAACTTTAAAATCTAAAGATTTAAAGAAACTATAAACTATTTGTAACAATTAATTCTAAATACATTAAATGAAAAAGTGAAAATATAAAAAAAAGAGGTGATTGCGGTATTAATTTTTGACTTAAACCAAATTATAAATTACTCATTGTGAAGTACTGTTAAATTCGAGAGTTGGCAAAAAGTTTGATCTTTATGAATATATATAATTAAAAAGAATATATACCACATAATAAACATTTATAACAAGTTGAGTAAATGCCAGATAAACGATTAAAGAACATTTCACAGTTTGACAATTCAAGAATCGACTTAAATATGGAGTATCAAAATAAAATTAGTGAACTCGAAGAAATTATTAAAAAGCAGGAACAAGTTATACAACAACAACATCATCAACAACAACAAAATGTATTCAGTTCCAAGGATATTATCCAACAGTTTCGACAATTAAAAACTTTGGATAAAGATCATAATTTAAGCGCTTTCATTAAATCTGTAGAAATGACAATTTCATTGTGTAATGATAACCAGCAATTAATAAATTACGGTATACAGATTGTAATTAATGAAAAAATTAGTGGAGAAGCTGGAAATTATGTTCGAGAACTGGGAGATAGCGTTAACTGGGAGCAATTAAAACAGAAACTAAGAGATCAATTTAGACCGAGGACAACCTATGGCGAAGTATTTAATAAGTGTCGAAGTATCAAGGTAAATAATCTTAGAGAATTATTTAATTATTTTGAAAAATGTAAGTTTGAAATTAGTGAATTATATGAATTTGATTGCGATAAACCATCAATATATAAACCTAGTAATGTTGATAGAGACTTAGTGAATATATTAATTGAGAAAATTGATGGACCGCTTAGAGCAAATCTTGATGAAAAATGTACACTCAATGAAATTATTACAAAATATACTAAATTAAGATTACTCGATGACATTAGAGCTATTCATGTTAGACATAGAAAGAATAGAGAAGAATTTACATACTCAAATAGAGAAACGAATAAATCTAACAACCCAATTCAATATAAAAATGGTTATTATAATTCAAAACAATATCGAAGTAATAATAATCGTGGCTCAATTCAGAGTAATAATTATAATAACGGTTCAACTCAACATAGAAACAATGATAACAATTCGTACCAATTCAGAAGTCATAACAATAATACAATTCAATATAAAAATAATAATGATTCAATTCAAAATGGTAATAATTATAATAATAATTCATTTCAA